GGCACCAATAAATGCTGATTCAACTGCCCTTCATTTCATGATACCGGCTTTTCCAGACAACTTCAGGATTAGTGAACAGGGAATGACATGAAAAACGCTGGAAAAAAAATCATAAAATATACCTAAAACAAAGACTCTGCGGTCGAAAATTGGTATCTTTCACTGAAAGCTACTCTTCACTTGCGTGATATTGTTAATGCATGCAATAATTCCTACAGATACAACAATAATTAGATACAAAGCAGTCCAACATCTTTAGTTTAGAAGGGCGATGTTTTACAAGTGTAAAGAGCTATGAGCACTAAAATCTCAACAACCCACAAAGTAGCTCAAATGAGTGAATACCACTATGGGTTTTGAAATGACCATAAATACCAACTATAACATTCCCAAAAGTACTCTTACAAGTTCCCAGATAAACGAACTTTTAACTCCTGATAATTCGTTTTCAAAGCTAAGTATTGATACTATTTCCTTCAATTTTGTAAAAGCACTTAGTACTTACAATACTAAAAATCAAAATATTATATAGATCCAGTACCATAGGCAAAAGAAGTCGATGTATTCTTGCCGAGTGCGTTAATTGAAATTTAAGCTGTTTAGCCACTTCTCAGCTAAATGTAACAATGCCAACTATCTAAGGATGAAAGAATTCTCAGAATGACCAAACCAAGAGGGTGATATGTTCTGAGCAGAGTGAACGCAACGCTGTTCACAGTAATATTTAAAACTATCAACTATTGATTAGAATCAGTGAAGCAAATAACTGGAGGCTTTCAATGATAGTTTAAAAGCTATAACATTAGCATAAATGGGTCTATTTCACTGTGAGTATATTTTACTACCATAAACCTCGTATTTGTTGTAGTTTATTGAATTCAGTAGTCAACTTTTGAATGAATAACGAATCCAACACCCAACTGTTTATTCATTAAGGTGGCTATATCAGTACCAATGGACATGCAGATTGTGAAATTTCAGCATGGAAAAGATAGTAAGTCCGATCGATATTTGCTAGTCTTGGTTATCTTGGATGTTGGGAGTAGGGTAGGATGGGGTGGGGATTTCTGTCTATCTCATTGTAACATGTGTACTGCACACTTGTGTGCTGACCTATGTCATGCCTATGAGACTTATCTAAATAAAGTGAAAACATGAGAAAAAGTACAGGTTTTTGATTATGTGTTTTTATAAATATCTTCTGTATGTGAAAGGATGAGAGGGTATCTATCATTGAGATTACGAATAGATTTCTTAGTACAGAACGTCAATTAACCGATAACGTTAGCATTTATCAAATGAAGTAGTCGGGATAAATATAATCTTTTTCTGTGTAGCCACTTTCTTACAAGAACACTATTTGCTTAAGTATGATTAACATGAAGGGAAGTAAGACAGTGTGAGATCAAGACACGACATTAATCCTTGCCCGTTGGTTTGAGTCGTGTACTAAGGTTTAGCTGGGTGGAGTTAAAAAGGTGTTTGTTAAAGATGAATGACTGGATACTTAATATCCTGGCCTAAAATCATTCACAGTTGACTTATGTATTTATTTCATCGCTTTAATTTGAATATCAATTATTGGGTAATCAGGTATTAATACATTCATCATACGTTAGGAGTAGCTAATTCGTATTATACAACTAAGGGAAGATAGTCGACTTTTATCATACTCTTTTATGTTTATCTAAAAGTTACTTGAGAGTGGAAGACATGAAAAGGCTAGCCACCTGTCGTTGATCATAGGTACCTGCGTTTTATCTCCCTTGTGAAGTGGTATAATAGCGTGAGCAATATTGAGGTTAGGCATCGGTTGAGTGCTAGGTAAGGAGGACGGGAAATCAATAGACGAGGTGGCTGTGAAGTTACATCGACTAAGATGTTTAGGACATGTGTTACGTATGCCTAGCCTAGCTATCGCCTTCCTAGACCGACAGGCAATGTTAACTGACATAGGGTCAAGTTGGGAAAGAGCTAGCGAGTGGTGATCAAACCAAAAGATGACTTCATCAGTCAATGAAATCCACAACAGTTAGTTTAAGCCATGTAGGAAGATGTAGGCTTCCTGGTTGGGGTCCTCGGGATGGTAAAAACCAATGACTGGAGACAATCGGCAGATGCATCCACACCTTGCGGCATATAATACCCAATAAAACTACATTGTTCTTCGATATTACTATTCTTTGTGTTTCATATCTCTGTTTACTGTCTCTATTATGCATTTCTTCTACTTTATTCTCTTGCTTTGTGTGCTACATTGAGTTAGTGTGGCGAATTGAACTGCTGCACATCGGTGCAAAGTTCTACGTCGAAAACAGACAGACTGTATACTGTTAGTTCTGTACTTTTGCTGTAATCATAGTTCTCAAAGATCTGATTTCCCCTTGATTATACCAATGCAAAATTATAAGGATTTATCAAATTACACTACTGTATTACAGAGTATATCATTCTTAATTTTCCTCAAAATTGAAGATCCACTCGATTTACTTTTCTCTAGTCTAATCAATAGTATCACACTGAAAGTATAGCTTATACTTGAACGATTGAAAAACGTAAAGGATAACTGGTACGCAGGTTAACTTAGTGGAATTTATGTACGGGAAGTTTGTCTTCCTAACTGAGATGCTGAAGAGGATAACATATAGAGCGAATAGTTCTATTTCTAAGTGCTATTTCAACTAATTAGCTCCTGAAGATGTAGCTGATCGGTTAAAGAAGTTCACGTTCAACCACTATCTCTCAAGGTTTAGCTTCCAAAACTTTATAGTCTAGTTGGCACATATTTATTGATGTCGTAGACAAATAGCAAACGTTTTGAGAATTAGTAGTAGTATAATCTAAAAAGACTGAAGTAGACGATAGAAAATAAACGCAAAATACTATTAACGAAACATGAATTAGATAAAAACATTCTACCGAGCAAAAGTAGATAAGAAATGAAAGAAGGCAGGTAGGACACAGAATCATATACAAATAGTCATACAATGTACATCCATCATGAAACTGAAAATCTTTTTCTTTGTTAGTAGTTGCTAACAGCCCTAACACAGTGTTTTTGTTAAATTCCCTGGGAAGCTGCAGCGAATTTGAAAACAGTCTACCGAAGGAATTCTTCATACAAAAAACGGATGATTTTAAGTCGACCAACTGTTGGAATATTTTTGCAAATTTCAGTATTAGGATTACCTAGGCAATAAAAACAAAATTACTTGTTTAGTCTCATTTGCAAATTGTTTATATTTAATTAGATGAAACAACGATTTTGAATCTCTCTTTCTCTCTTATTTGCTATATTAAGTGGCAAGAATACTTCTACTGGCCGATGATTTGAAAAAGAAAGTACTCAACAGATACATGAATGTCCATGTACTTAGAAGTATGAGAAGCTTATTGAGGACGTTGATGACACCGCCTGGTTGACTGGACCTAAGGGCATAGAGTGCAATACTCTTATCAAAGTGATTACAGAAGAGATGAGATAATTGACTCAATAATATTCACTGTACGATATAGGTGTTAATAACGCAAGTAGAGGAAGACGAAACCACAATAACCATATGTCAAACTAATGACAAAATAGAAAAACGGTTTATACTTAGTATAAAAGAGCTGATTATTTAAATAGGTCACAGAAACATATTTGAAGAACCTTGAGGCCGCATTCACATTCATAAATGATGCTAATAATCGACAGTAGTATATAATTATTGTTTCTGGAAACATAGGAACATTACGACAAGAGAATCCGAGTTTTAGAACAAAATACGATGTGAAGCATATGTACCAATATATGCATAAATATAACATAATATATCATAGAAAACAGTGAATACATGATGCTGAATGTTGGTGACAAATGCTGAGTGTATAATATTAAATCTAATCATAAGAATGCACCATTAAATAATTAAGGTCAAACGACATAATGGATAGACTAGTAGAGAAAAATTGATGGAATATGTAAGATAAATGCCACTGGATAATAAGATATCCTAATTTTAGAGAATTAAATGGTAGATTTGGGTCCCTTATGTACAGTACGATTGCATGTATTGACCAGTTACAATTGTGCCTGTTAGAATGAGTGAAGTTCGCATACTGAGACTTATACAAGAGAAATAAAGTTCAAACTAATGCTATATCCAATGAGGGTTGAGTGGTAACACAACTATGAGAATGATGAAGGCTTTGAACCAGTGTGGGCGTATTACTAAATTATTCAATGATAAATATTTCCTGGCTAAAACCCTGTGAAGATATCGTTTATTGGTTTATTACCCCAAGTTTTAACAACTTGGCTATGAAATTCGAATTCCTTTCCACCTAGCGAAGTTTCGGTAGCCAAGTAGTACGTTGCATAAAAAGTGTGGCTCATTGTTAATTGCATGTAAATGCTAGTGGTCATTAAGCAACATTTGATTTTTATTCCAGAATCACAATGATCACGTCCTTAGAAAACCAAGGACCGTGAGGAAGACATCAGGTAGCTCTTTTCATACGGAGTAATGCCTTCAGTAAAACAATGGAAAAGTGAAATGAGGCTGAAGATGCGTTTTGTCTCTGTCATTACAAAACCACTTTTACTGACTTTGCAAATGTGGAATCTAAAAAGATGTGCACTAAGGAAAAGCGGAAAATGTAAGGAGTTTTCAACTGTGTTAGAATTCGCCAGCGCACACTACTTCCAATATTTCGACTAGTTAATACATAGTCAAAGAAAGTACACATCAGGTACACCCCACTGAACCAAACTACTAAAGGTTTAACACTGAAACACTTGATTAATTTTTGAGAACCAAATATAGCAGTCTGACTTTTAGTCTTATAGGCTATAGAAGGTACAGGAACTAGTGAAAAATTTTGATTATCATCGTCACCCGCAAAAAATCACCAGAATACAAAGTACACTGATAATACTCAGTAATGTTACTTCCCTGTGATACAACTTAAAAACCATGAAGCTTTCTTAAAAAACTAAAACTTTTTCGTTCACTTACAGTATACATCAGTCGAGATTTGTTAAAATGACAGATTCCTCGGACTTCACTGTCATGGACCGCGACCTCAAATATTCTATTCCTTTTTGCAATATCCCAGTACTGAATCTATAATAATACAGAGTCAAGTTGAACCTATGAGTTACAGACCTTTCCATCAGCTGTCCCAAACACTGCCAAGCCTAGAGTCTCTGTGTTTAAAGAAAGTGCTGTCATTCTTTCATTGGTTCCCTCAAGAGCTCCCAAGAAGGGCTTGGCCATCATTCTCCCTATCTTCGCCGCATTTATGGCTCTAACGTATTCTCTTTCCGGAGCGAATGGGTGTTCTGCGACACTCTGATTCCTGGGAACTAAACACATATAGCTTAACTATTACGATACATACTTTTAAATATATCATCAGCTGTTTCCCTGCGGAAATCAGAGGGATTTCTTGAAAGCATGCGAATCTTCATCTTGAAACAATTGTCAAGGTCCTGGCCTTGAGTCTCGTATATCCAACGTGAAATGAAGTGACCTAGAAACAAACCTTTGAAAGGAAAGTAAGTTACTATCTCCTTAGCCTTCATTCCTTGCTGATAAGAATTGATTCTGTTTCATCTGAAGATTTAATGTAATTTATATATCTACTGCTGTAACCCTATTAGACAGTGAGCTGTCCTAACCACTGTGCCACCGACGCACCAATTATGTCATAGAAACGCTGGTTTTCAGTTTTAAAAGTATGGTAGTGCTAGGAAAATTTATAAGCGAAACACTGGCTGGCTAAAAACATCAACTCTGCGAATACCATAAATCAAACCAGTGTAGTCTGAATATAAAGCAGTCTCTTCTAAAGTGTCGACTACTCTATCGAAATGGTCCTAAAATAAATAGTTAGGGGCTGGTGAACGTCACTTGTCCTTTACTAAGGGGAGCATATAGACATGGAAAATCCGACAAAACAAATATCTGAATCCATGATGAGAAAGGGAGTATGAGTAGATAGTAATAAATGACCATCTTGCTTATGGTGCTCCTTTGGTAAATATGGAAACAGGAGTGCTGATTAACTAATATGGTATGTGACTTTTCCACAAAATGCAGTGCTTTTCCAGTCATTCAGCAACAATTTTGAGAATAAATAGGTTCAAAAACTAAGCGGTTAATAATTTGTTAAGAGGGATGCTAACTTCATATTCAACTGAATTTATCTAAAGCGAATGTTTAGTTTTGTTAGTAGTAAATGGAGTGTTGGATTCACTGCGCTCTACCTCTAAAAGCAATGCAGACAGTATGCAATGAAAGAAATCTCGACGACATATTTACTGACTGTTACCAGTGTAAAAAGTACCCATTGTCAATAACGATAAGAGCTCTCAGGGAGTATTTTAGCAGTGTGGCAGTATTCTTGATTATCAATCCATATAAAGTGGTCTATTCAAAACATGAGACTTCATTTAATGAAAGGTGCTAACACTTGTGGTTCTTAGGCTTTTCACCGCGTTTTTCGTTTGAGTAACTTCGCCTAGAAAAGAGGGAAGCTTAGGCACCGGGCTAACGAACCAAGCCTGAAAAGTCAATCAAACTGCTTCAGGAACCTCAACGAAAAAGAAGAACATCAGAACAATAAAAAATACAAAAACAAACCTATCCATTTCTTGAATCTAGGAGACGGAGTGATGTGGTCTGATGAAAGCCCTTGAAAAGCCAGTCAGTGGATGTCTTCTATCGATGGGAGAAAACATAAGAATGGGCTGGTAAGCTTGTCCATCTTGTCAAAGAAATGCGAAGGTATGGCATAAAGGTGTTGCGAGAGTAGATGGTATGGATGTGGATTGTCAAAGCTGTCAAATGGAGGGTCAGTAATCTACTCCAGCCACCCATACGAAAACCACTATCACACTTAGGCAGTGAGTGGCTATCATAATGTCGTCTGTGTCAGCCGAGGTCCTAATGCATTGGAGACCGATCTCCTCCTTCAGGATAATGACGGCAAGATTCAACTCAATGGTTGAAAGGTTACAGATATCCAGTGCCAACCGGACTGCTACAAACAACGCTGAACAAGAGAGGAAGATTTTTCACAGACAGCTTCAAACACTAGTGGACAACATCCCAAGCGGATAAATCGAAATCCTCATGAGAGAATGCCGCATTGGAGGCAGATAATACAGGGAGATAACTCATCATGGGCCGAGAGGCTTTGGATCGGAGAAATGACTGAGAACGGAGAATTGTTCACAAACTTCTACGCCTTCAATGACTTGGCGTGTACAAGGACAAGAATATACACAAAGTAACATAGATTTCGCCTGACGGACATGCCACAAATCAGATAGATTTCACTTCTCAAGAAAGTAGAGACGCACCCTGCTGGATACAAGGTCGAGAAGGAGAGCAGATGTGGGCTTGGGCCATCATCTCGTTCACAGTACCTCCAAGGTGAAGCTGGAATTCTTCAGAACAACTAGTGACAGGCCGCAATTCAAGTTCAATATTCAGAAACTGAAGGACAAAACCACAAGGGATGACTTCAGTACAGATCATATCGGGCATCACCGAAGAAACCTATTTAGAAGAACACTGGAACTCTCTGGAAGCGATATTCAAGGAAACGTGTACAACTGTTCTAGGAAGAAGGAAGAGACAATACTAGGAATGGCCGTCAATGGATACTTGGAAGCTAATTGAGGAGAGGAGGAAGATGACTCAATGCAAAGATGGGCAACAGAAGCATAACAGGCAGGCTACAGGTGAGAGATACCTCAGGACGTTACATCTGATAACCAGGTCTCCATCCGGAGAGAGATCAACGTGGGTTAAACCTTTACAGCCGGGCAAGTGAAGCTAATTATCAATGGGTAGAAACGAATAAAACAATGAGCTGATAACTTTAGATGACGCTTGAATCGATTATCACCCGCAACTCGTTCAGAAATACCACCAGCAGCACGCACAGAACTGCCCGTCAGTGAACACCAACCCTCTGATAAAAAAGGGAATCTTGAACGAGATCAAGCTACTGAAGTGTGAGAAGGCAACAGGGTCAGACTGAATTCCCTACGGAGCTCTGAAAACGAACCCAGAGGCCGCATCGGATATGCTCTCGCTGTTATCGCAAAAGGCATGCAACGAAGGAAGGAAAAGTACTTACCTACTGGAAGAAAGGCTACCTTGTCAAACTACATAGGCCACTACAAGAACTGGCGTGGAATAATGCTGTTGTTCACACCAATTAAAATACTAGGCGGAGTCATCCTGAAGGGAATCAGAAAGTCAACACACTCCTTCATCAACCTCAGACGAGTTTTGAAGGCTTCTGCACTCAGCCAGCATGAAGAACAAGATTCGAATTTTGAACACCAATGTGAGGTCAACCACTTCTTCAATATTAGTCAGAAAATTGTCCAGATTGTCACGAAAAGCATTTGCAGCAGGCTGCACACTTTTATCAACGTCTGCCTTCACTCCACAATAAAGATCAGATGGCGAGTAAAAATTATCAACAAGGACGAAGCAAGAACCTATAGCTCAACAGATACGTAGGAGAAAATGGAGATGGATCAGGCACACTTTGACGAGGCCACTGAATGACATCACGCCAGTTTATTAGTCGAGTGGATTCCGAATAGAGAACGGCGAGTGGGTTGTCAGTGTGAAGGTGACATGGAGTAGATCGAAGAGGGGAGGAGAGATTATGGGTAATCCCGGGCCCAGCAAAACAGGGCGGCAGAAAATAGAACAAAGTGGAGATGTGTTGTTGAAGCCAAGGGAACAACAACAATAATTTGAAATAATCACTCCACCAGATGTATCTTCTATGACATTCATGCGTTGTGGAATGCCGGATTGGAGAAACACATCTATAAGTTGCATCTCTGAGAAAAATGCATGTTTGTAAAACATATCACTAAATTGATTTTCGAGTCTCTTTGTTATGTTGCTTAACAGACGGTTTTGCGACTGAGTGACATAAAATATCTCGTTGATATGTAGTATAAATGCCAGTGTGAAAAATTTTACACAACTGGTAAAGACACGATTTCACAGGTTCTTTCACGTCGAAAGTTGCCAATGTGATTTATCTTCATAGGAAAGCCGTAGGGAAGTGACAATAGAGAGAAAGTAACTAAAGTTCTAACAACTTGAGTGTGTCACCCTTCAAATTCCTAACGAAATCATAGTACTTAACGTTCTTTTAATACTTATTTAACCTGCCAACCTAATAATCTGAGGTAAAATGTTCATCATCAAATTTACGCAGTTAGATGACGCACTCGGGACCCCTAGTGCAATATTTCTTCAGATCACATTACCCGACGACCATAATCACTATTAACCCACAAACAGTCATCACAAATGATTCTAAAATGAAAACAGAAACCCTAAGTCCTGAAGTTTTGTTGGCAGGAGAACATAGTTGCGTCATTTTAAGTTCACCAATATGTCTCTCAAACTTCATACACTCTGTGTCATCTTGTACATAACTCAGTGGACTTCGCTTTAGATGAGACCCAGCCGAATCAAGGAAAACTGAATTTATTAGACTGTTTTCATTTCAAACGGCCATCACATTCAGAATTCCTCTTCAGTTTCCCATTTAACGAAAAACAAACGATTTGACTGCTAGTAAACATACACCTCCACTACAGTAAGAGTGTATCTATTAAAGCATCTAATCAGTTCCTTCAATTTAGATACCAATTAAAAGCAGGTAAATTTTACTCTTTTTGCAGTGAGATGAACCACATAAATTCGCATCCTGATTAACCGGCAGTACTTAGGCACTTAACGCCAAAAACTCATTTCACTCTTCACAGGCCGAGGGTGTTGACATTCACAAATAGTACGACTTATACTAACGCAATATCTTATACACACAGCTCCTATAGTACTCGTTCCGCCTAGATCAAAGGCAATGCGAAACGCCTAATTGGTTGTCCAAAATAAGAAGCATATTCCTGGACCGAATTCGCAGTGCGGGGATGAATGCTTGATTGGCTAGGAATCGTGCACTATCAACCAAACGTAAATTATTAGTAACAAAATAGGGGAATAAACCTTGCGTTTATCGCATATTGTTTGCTTAAATTATTATTATTTGCTGGCTGCCTCTGCACCTCTCTTTCTGTTTTATTTTTCCTCCTCTCGAAGGTATTGCATTGATGCACAGCAAATGAACAGTAATGCTGCTTTTTACGTTTGTATTACTTGAGCGGTATTCAGAATGTTGTTGGCACACACGACGAACCACGGAACAAATTCCA